GCAGGGAGATGGATGTCTTGCATCAAAGCAAGCACCCTCTTTTCCTTGCTAAGAAAAACTTTAACCAGTTGTGTATGTGAGAAAACAGAAACCAGTAAAAGTTTGAAATGTGTCCGTGTACAGCCGGTGGATAACACCGACTTTGGCATGGCAAGATGGGGTTTGATTCACTGTCAGGGCACAGCTTTAGGCCCTTAGGCAAGGCCCTTAATGCTATCTGTCTAGTGAGGTACTTTACAAATGCTACGGCAAGGGGGAGACAGGACACCAGGGTCGGGGGACATATCATCCTCCCTGCAATCGGAGATTGAAAATTACAAAATTTGTTTTGTTTAGGATGATGACTAAGATGAAGTAGTGAGAAAGGCATAATGAATGAAGACTAGTAGCAAAAGTGAAGTACTTCCTGAAACCAAGCAAGCTGATATAGAGACCGAGTATGTGGAGACAGAAATGACATAAGGCTATTTAGTTTGTTTAATAAAATAACAAGGTATAAACCTGTTGTATAGGAAAGGTAACCTTAAATGACTTCTGTTCTGATCTGGCACTATAGAGAAAATAAAATTAAATAAAATTAATCTGACCTTCAAGGGGGGCAGGGGGTGCCCCCCTAATATAATAGTAGAGGAAACACTGGCTAAAAGCAAAGCAAAACAGGGAAAGGCCTCAATAGCTGCTGCAGTTATGTGCGGCTGCCATGTTGGTACAGGGCCACAGTGCCTCTTAATGCATGTCTGTCCACAGTTAGAATTATAATTCACTGAATTCATTTTAGTCTATTTTTGCAGGACATTGGTTTGTTACAGATCCAGAGCACTTCATGTAGATAGAAACAGTAATGTTTCTATGGCACAGTATTTAAGATGATCTTGCCCTGGCGTAGTTCTGTCTTACTTACATGCCACAGTTCTTTTAGAAAAATGTTTCTAGTGAAAGAGTATTTTGCTGATTTACATTTTTAATTCACACATTTACAACACAGCGTTTGCCTCCAGTGTCTCAGCAGGGCTGTGCATCTGCAGGCTTGGTCCATAGTGCTACTGGCCCTTTTCTTTTTTGTTGGGAACTGTTGCACATTAGATACACATTTGTGCTTTTGCAACCAACACGGAGGTGACACTTTGTCATGTTAGAAACATTTTAAATAAGGATTAATTGAGATGAATTCAACATGTTAGCAACAGTAAAATATTGTAGTGTAATGTTGGTTCCTTTTGCAGTTTCTTCCATTACAACGTCCAAAAGCAGCACAGAGCTGCGGTGTTTTCTATTCTGTGAAGTGGCCAGAACTTCTCCTGCAGTGGTGGTGACAGAGAAAACAATCTTGATGTATTTGAAACAATAACCTTAAATGTCATTGACAAATACATCAGATGTGCATGGAGTGATAGAGTTCTCAAAATAATGCGTTCTTGTGTTTTCTACATAAAGAATTCTCTAAAATAGAGTTCTCTATGTGTGCATGTACACACACACACGCACGCACAGACACATATGAATGATTAACTGTTACTTAAGTGACAGAAAAGTCTGCACCTCAGTGTCGGTATTATGAGTATTTATTAAGCAGTCATTTTGAATAAGCCTTGGATGTGAAAGGAATGCAGCTCTTAAAACAAGAAAAATCCCTAATGAGATTAATTTAAAACAAAAAACCATTGCCTTATATACAAGTGGATGGGGTGGGAATGTGCAAGAGGTGTGGGATTCAGTATGATGAGTTAGTACAACAGGAAGATTCTGAGGGTGGGGGCTGGCTTTAGTACATGTAGCCTTTGGAGTAGGGCTGGGGGCCCATGTTTTGGGGGGCTTGTTCTGTTGCGTAGGGCACTCCCTCATCCAGGTGGGACAGGGGCACAGTGTCCTCCTCGTTGACGTAGCGCTCGAACTCAGCCTTCAGGCTGGGCCGCTGATTGTCGGGGAAGGCCAGCGAGATGAGGGCCTCAGGCTCACACACAAACTTGTAAACATAGCGTTCCCCTGCCACCTGGAGAGAGAGCGAGTAGCTAGAGTCATATGGGAATGCCTCTGAAAAACAACTTTTTTTTTTTTTTTTAGGTGTGCAGACCTTTCACTTTAAAGGATAAGTTTGTTTTTTTGAACTTGCTGTATTTCCTCTAGAAGTGGTGACTGTAGCTAGTGCTAACTTTGCTATCACTACCTCCACTGCAGAGATTTGGATGTCACACAGTAAACGGTGCAATCAGTCAGCCTCTGAAATTGAGCTCAGAACAAACATGATGATTTCAGTCAAATCATTTTTCATGCTAATCTCCGTGTCAGAAGGAAAGCCAATACAAGATACAGCCGTCTGAGGTAGCGCTACAGCTAACTGCTTGGGAATATACATACATCTGGGTCCACTTGCCTTGTAATTGACCCATGTATTTAGCTGAAATGTAGCTTTTATTTGCTTTCTGTCCGACTCAGAGATGAGTGAAAAATTATTACACTGATATCACGTTTGTTCTGAGCTCTCTCAGAGGCCGATTGCCCTAGTGACGCTGTTTAATGCAGCCTTGTTTCTCCAAATCTGTATAATGTAGGTAGTGATAGCAAAATTAGCAGTAGCTATAGTCACCATACCCAGTATTACAGGAAAAACAGTAGGCAAAGAAGAGTTAACCTTTAAGATATTACTATTTTTGTATCTCATTATTGTGAGATAATGCAGGGGTTGGAACGCTGTAGAACTTGCCTGAAAACCATCAGATTTTAACAAATTCTTTAGTATCAAATTAATTCAGTGATAGTTGGCAGGACATCCAACAGAACATTGCAAAAACAAAGTGCTAATAGCTAATTTGGTATACTTGGTGTATGACTAATATGTTTTTTTAACCTTCTGCATGATTCCCTTCTCGTAGTAGTAGCGCAGCGAGCGACTGAGCTTGTCATAGTTCATGGCTGGGCGGTTCTTCTGCATGCCCCACAGTCTGGCAACCTGAGGAGGCAGAACAGGAAATGGCTGTGGTTACGCTTCAGGCAAAGTTCATCTGCAGTGAGGTTCATTTAAAGGTGAGTGGTTATTTGCGTGCTTTTAAAGGGCTTAAGAGTTCCTCAGATGACACATCAACACATGAGAATGGTTTGTGTAGGCGTTGTTTTTCTTCAGGTTCATATTCCCCAACTCATTAACAAACAGTTGTGTATTTCCCTTTCGTTACCACTAGGGGTCCTCAGTGCTGAGTCCAAGACATCACTGCTCTTCAGCTCACCAGCATCAACATGCCAAGACCAGGGCGAGTCCCCACATGTGGATTCATTTCCTTTTTATGTAACCCATTACCACTTGAATGCAACCGAGTCCCACAGTGTTCACGTGAAGTACAAGTCAGGGGCAGGCTGTGAAATACAGCCCCAACCCAAAAATGAACTCTGAGCTGACAAGGGACCACTAACTCTGACAGACGACAAAGCCCACACTCTCAAGGGGGAGTAAATCAAATCATTTCACAACATCTCCATGTTGACAAACATGTCCGACACTGCTGGGAGGAGGGCGGGTCATGACTAAGGGAAAGACAGCCAGCGGCCCCGTTTGGTCTCTGAGTGCACTTTCAGCCCTAATTGCTCTTGTAAAACTCTTACCTCATTCATTTTTAATGTACTGTAAAAAGATAATGGAAAACACAATACAGGACCCAGCTAAAAGGACGCTGTCTGATACGGCCAATCAAATAGCAGACTTAAACATCGCAGAACTGTCTTGACTAAAGGAGGAGGTGAGAGAGAATGGATTATTCTGTGATAGCACTTGTCCTTCATTTATCAATCCAGTGCTTCATGTGTTGAATAATGAATGGGGGACTAATGGAAGATGGATCAGAGAATAGACCTATGAAAAAAATGGCCAAATCTCACTTCTAAGGATTCTAATCGAGGCCTAAAAACCGAGCTAACACAAATTCATTCTGAGAACAACTCTGCTCTCCTTATCAGATTTATATTAACGTCAGGATCTCTACCAACACTAAGTTGATAGAGAAATACAAGCTAAAAATAGTGCTGATGCATTTTACATGTTTTCTCTTACAACATTTAAGATGATTTTAACAGTTCTCATGGAAAGAGGCTATGGCCTACAGAAACCTCTCCTTCTACTATTAAACAATACTTAGCAGTAAAATCATTAGGTTTTTTCCTTCCAAAAATTCAAAGTCTTTTACTTGGTCTAAAATCATTACATTCCTTTGTAACAAAATGTTCAGACTTCAATGGTAGTGTCTAACAGGAGCCTATCATGCTGGATCTGCTGGCTTCAGTAACCAGACCTGTACAAGCAGTAAACCTCAATTCAAGCATCAAATTGTCTGAAGTGGCATACAGATGTTCCACCCTCTACATTCATCAATAATCTGTATTAAACAGGCAGAATACTGTCCCAGTTCACGCCAGTGAAAAGATTAATTACAATGTTGAAATTAACTATGTACTCTTGCTGTTCCAACACAAACTTTTCCCATTCCTGATATTGTCAAATGAGCCCCTTTTACACTGCCCACTCACTGCGGGGGTTCTGTGCTTTGCCATCTGTATAAAAGGTACAACCCGTTTGTTTCATTTTCAAACTGGCCACAAGATACGCAGACCATGGATGTCATAAGCATCACGCCTGTAGTACCAGAATTCCCATACCTGTGTAAAACAAACACAGGAGTGGCAGTTTGCCAGCTTTTTTAAGTTAAGTGTAAAAAGGCTTAAATCCAAAAAAGCTGCCTTTAAGAAGGGTCAAAATAGAAGCAGTTTGCTAAAATCACTGTGTAAAGGTGGCTAATGAAAAGAAACAGATTCAGACACACCTCTTCAGGTTCAATGAGCTTGAACTCCATGCCACGGCCAGTCCAGGCGATGAAGTGGGCGTTACCCGGGTCGTCCAGCAGGGCCACCAGGAACTGCCAGAGCTGCAAAGAGCCACGGCGCTGGTAAGGTGTACTCTCACGAAAAACACCACCCCCCTCCTGCTTCACCTCACCTAGACGAGGGGTTAAAAGACACTGGTGGTCAGCACGTTTATGGGCCATGAACACATGCATCAAAACACTCCTACTGTTTTACAAATGGATTCTGACCAGCTTCTGGTACAATTCAATCACCTTTGTAGCTTCAGTTGCACTGTAGTTTTGCCACGTTAATTCGACATTTGATACATTTTCAGCGCATTAATCTGCATTAGGCCATTAAGACTCAAACATTAAGATCTAAAATGGTTCTTATATTGACTTACAACAGCTGCAAAGTATCTGAATTCTAGTAGGGCCAATACATCAGTCATCCAATCTGGATGTTTCATGTTTACATACCTACTTAAACTGAATCAAGTACTCACTAACAGCTTATCATTGCAGCAGTGTGTTGAGTTGAGACAGAAACATCATAGGGAAAACTTTAGGGCACAAAGATAAAACTGAAGGCAACACAGGGCATTTAGCTAAAAAGCAAGACCAGGATGCATACTAATTGGGAAGGAAGTAAAAACAACACTGGGTGATGCAATGCATAGGTAAATGGACACTGATTCGTGTTTGGTTCATGCTTGTTTACCGTTATTGGATATGATGTACACAAGTGTGGGAACATGAGACGCTCAGCCAAGTTAATGCTGTTGTCTCTCAGGGAACCTGAACACTCCACTGGTTCAACCAGTGCTGATACCCTCAGGCTCGCTACTCAATCTGCTTCAGTGTCAATCACCGACACCAAAAACACCATGGGAAACTGTTCGTCTCTCCTCTCTCTGTGACAGAGGAGCCCTGCATCATGTGCGTGGAGTAACCAAACCCAGCAACTAAGCTTCTGACGTCTCACAGAGATGATCGTCTCTGTGCGGTAATATTCAGGTACACAGATTGGAGTAGGTGAATGAATAGCTGGGGTTTCTTTCCTTGCCGACTTGCCAAGTGCACTATGGTGTGACAATGAAACGAATGCAGAAGGACTATGAGTAGAGCTGACTCACCTTCGAACTTCTCTGGAACCACACGGGAGTCATTTTCAAACAAATAGCCTGGAAGACATAGGGAGAATTGGGTTCAAGTTTCAAGGAGCCCTGACCTTAGCACAGATAGGTTGTTCATGTGGCATCTGTAACAAGCTTTGAAAACCACTCCAAAAACATACAAGGGCCTATTCACACATGAATAATGTTAAGCCAGTGATTGTGCACTTTTCTAAACTGAGACCCTAGAGCGCTTCAGTAACGCTGAGAGGATCTCATAGTGAAAATAGTTAAAGGGACTTGGATCTTTGCTCCCAGTTTTAGGCCAGTGAATGTATTTGTAACATGACTCTAACGTTTCTATATGCTGAAGTGGTGAATAAGAGCTTGAATTTCCCAAAATGGTGTTTTCTTTTTTGTTGGAAAAACGGTGGGCTTTATCTAGGAGTTCTGTTTATTTGGGGATTCTTGAGGCAGGGGTGAGGTTAGAGCCCCTGCCAGTGGAAACAGGCACACGGCCGGTTAGCCAATCAGAACACCGACACTCCATGCTGGTTAGCCAGTAACCACAGAGTTCTAACCAGTGAAGATAAAGCAACAGAGAGGAAATACAAACAGAAAATACAAAAAAAACTAATTACCTTCATTGCTGTGCTGGGGGTTTGGGTAGCCCTCACTGTGGTGGTACATCGAGGGACATCCAGGCACATCTGGGACAGAAACAACAACAGCTATAGGTCAAAGACTGTTTACCGATAAATGGTTATAAACACAATATACAGTGAAAGGCCAAAGGTTTCTGGGGGAAGGTCTCCCATTTTGCTCAAAAAGTTAGCTTTTTGACAATTTGTGGCATATGTCATAAATAACGGACCATCAATTAAAATGGGAAAATGGTCATTAATCATAATGGGTTAACAGAGTGTACGTCTGATTCTAGGTTTGAGCAAATGAAAGATCACACTTGGAGGCAACATCTGCTGGAGAACGTGAGTGTATTATTATGGATATTCTGTGTGCGATCACCCACTGCAAGGACAAATGCAGTATTCATCATATCATGTCTCAGGTGGTATTTTTAGGCCATGAGCAAGCACCTCACCAGACCAGAAATGTGGTACAGCGTCTGCACTTTGTCTGGGCACATTGTTGACCGACTCAAATTGCCGCATTCAATTACATAGATTTTATATTCCTCCTCAAGCAAAACGTGTTGTGACGAGTTGTGCAGGAGTATTGTGCTCGGTTTCCTGTGACTGCTCTGCTCTGCTCACCTTTGTGTGTTTCTCTTTGGCTGTCTGTACATAACAAATAAGGCGTGGCGCAGACTATTCTAAATGTGTTTGTCCGTTTTAATGCTGTCTGTCACCTGAAAGAGTGAGACGAGTTAGAGAATAAAAACAAAAGGTGCAGTTCTTTGCCTCTGGCTATGACTCACTCCTGGGGAATGCAGCTGCAGCGCTTTGACTGCGATAAGATGTCAGTGGGGGAAAATCAAACCCTCCATTCTGGGGCAGCAGCACTCAATCATACTGTAAATAATATGTCTGCCAGCGATGGCAGGCTCCCACCAGGGAGTAATGGGTGGATTGGGTGTGAGAGCACTAGGGTTAATTGTGTGTCGAGTGGCATGACCATTTTGTGTCTTTCATGTGACACAATGATAGTGATTAAGTGATGGAATGCCAATCTGTATGTGAACCTGGGAATCTCTTTCTGTAGTCTGCTTTTAACATGGGACTGTAGCCTTGCTGCATTTGGCTGTCATTGTTCACACTGCGCACTCCAAAAGAAAACACTGGTGGTGTTGTCTTTACACGATGTTTACTTCACCATGCTCCATTATCGTTCTTACTTTACAATTTAGGATCGGATTTCTTTCAATTAAATGGGTTTAGGAGGTAGAGCGGTCGTCCCCCAACAGGAAGGTTGGCAGTTTGATTCCCGTTCTCCCGAGTCCACATGTCCTTCGGCAAAACACTAAACCCCAAGTTGCTCCTGATGGCGAAGTCAGCGCCACCATTGGGGTGTGTGCGAGTTGGCACCGCAAACGGCTTTTTCAGTTCTGTACCGGAGACAAATTCCTTGTGTGTTTAACATACTTGACCAATAAAAGTGATCTTAATGATCATATCCAAATCACAGGAAACTATAAATCATATTAATGCCTAGGTTTTGTTTTACAGGGTGCACTGATTAAATAGCTATTTGCACAAATGATCCCATTAATCTGCCTGAAAGAAACCATGTTTTACTATCCGATTTATGCTACTCCATTTAAACAGTGGAGAATTAATGTTTCACAATGATACTGATGTTTTAAATTGGATTCTTTATAAGACACCTGGAACCTCATTAACAAACTGTTGTTAACTGAGTCTTCTATCTACTTCCCCCCTCCATACACAAATACACAAGCTCAAGCCCTGCTCAAGGGCATCTAGTAGTAGTAATAAATGGAGAAGGGAGTAAAACCGATTCAGCAGATGTTAATTTCATGTGAAAACAGCATCTCATATTTTAGGCTTCTATAACCTCTTACAAAAGGTTTGCTTTTTTTGTAGAACTGTCAAGCTCTGTGACAAAAGCAATGATAAACTCTGATCTTTTTTGTGTGATCGGACTCTGCAGTCGGTTGAAATCTTATCAGAGACACAGGAAACTCCACCAAATTGAACTCTCTCCTCCTCCCAGCAGTTATCCACAGAAAACATCCTTTTTCCCTGTTTTCCCTTTCTTTCACAAGGTCACGCTGTCCCCCTCCCATTAAAAGTGTGAGTATAAAAACTGTGAGTGAAAATAACTAGGTCGCTTGTACTTGGATTAAGTATGCTAAAGTAGGCTTTCAGGCCTGGAAGGCGTGCCATGTAGCCATCCTATGATGCGCATATGGGACCTGTGGGAACCTCAACACCAGTCCTCTATAGCAGCTTTAAAGCAGGCGAGCAAGGACAGAATGTAAGTGGAGTGTTTGATTTCTGACTCCTTGTTGAGGCAAGCAGAGGGGCTGGTTTCAGTGCTTTCCAGTGGGAGAGCTTGTGTTAAGGCATCTGAGTTGGCTGATCCACACCATACCCCCATCACCCCGCACTCGTACCGCTCACTCCCCTCACCCTCTCCCAAAGCCCAGCCAGTGAGAGGTTCGGGTTACTGCGGCCACGCTCATTTTTCCATTATGAGTTCATCTGCCTGCAGAAAAAGGAAGCTGCTGGTGCAACCTGAAACCCTGGAGCACTCCACCAGGGACTCTAGTCTTTCCAGTGCCCTCCATTTTCTCAATGAAATTCCTCTGCCTCTCTCTCACAGAGCAGTGGAGGGAGGGAGAGGGGTAAGGAAGGAGGGAGGAGTGTCACAGTTGAAAGGAGGAGTTTAGAAGGTGGCGGGGGGTCGGGTCGGAGTCGAGATACAGTGAAGAAGTTTGTTTGCCTTTTGTACATTTTGTTCTTCAGTTCGCTGTGTAAACTGGGGAGGGTTTTCCTTTATAAGGACTTGTTTGAATCAGAATGCAAAACAAACATCTTGACAGTTTATCTAACTGTTAACAAGATATAAAATACACTCTCTTATATGTTAACATTTGATTTCATGTACTGATGCTCAGATCCTTGATATTTCTCTATGCTTCTCAATTACAACCCAGAACAACTGCATCAGGTTTCATTCTATATAGCACACGATCTTCAGTACTCCTGAAAGTGAACTTAAAACTGCCTATAGGACAAACTGTTCATTGATAAAAAAAAATTTTCAAGCAACAAAAAATGACCCATTAATTATTTTGCTAATTGATTAATGGCTTTTAAACATTTGCTGTTTCTAGCCACTCAAATGTTTTACATTGTTGTTTATGTCCTTCAGTTTTCAGCTGTTGGTCAGACGAAAACTATTTTAAGACGTTACCTTGGGATCTGGGAAATTTGGACACTTTTCTTTTATTCTGATATTTCCTAATCAGTCATTAATCACCTAACCAGAAAAAAAAATCAACTTATTAAGAAATACAGTGCCAACAGTCTGTACTACTCACCAGGTTCATAGGTGTAGTCTGTGGGCTCCTGCTTCACCATCATGTGGGCTGGTGGGAATCTATGTGGGTGAGGGTGTGGATGTGGCTGGGGGTGAGGCCCGTGCCCGTGCCCGTGCCCTGGTCCGCTCCTATGCCCAGGCCCTGCCATGTGAGCCGCCCTCTCATACAATGGGTCTAGGAATTCTTGTTTAAAGCTCTGCTGCAGGTAGGGCATGCAGGGGTCAGAGTGCTGCCGATGATAACCACCACTACTGCTGCCGCCCCCACCACCGCCACCGCCCCCAGGACCTCCACCCCCACCTGCACTGCCACCATGTCCTGCTGGAGCAGAAGGCATTGGCATGCGCTGAAAGGCCTGGCCTGGAGGGGGGAACTGGGAGCACATGGGGTCTCCTGAAGGGCCCTGATACCTGGAATTATTGAGAAATGAGATACATCAGCTCAGTTTAGGATCCCATGTACACAGTATATACTGTATGTGTAAATGCAATATGCAACTCTAAAACAATAATCTGAGATTTTTTTAGACTCATATTGCTTGTTTCTCTTCCAAACTGTTGGAGATTTTACTGTCAGGGGAAAACAGGGTAACTTTCATTTAAAGACATAAAATGATCCAGTATCTGTACTATAAATAGTTTTAGTACGTTTGTCTTGCTTCTTTGAGTACAGTTAATTGAGTCATAGATAAAAATGACACAACAGCTGAAAATGCAGTTTTTTAACTTTACACCATAAAACATAATATTTCATTATAGGTTATAGTTTCATTATGTAAACATATTTTATCATGTAAAATAAGCATGTAATTACAGATGCCCATCTACCCAGTGCTTGTAAACCATTTGCTGCTTCAGATAATATTATTTATTTGAAGGTAACTGTAAAATATAACTGTCAATCATAGCTGTGGCCTAGACTTCTGCGGCATGTCACCTGGTGTTGATGGGGTAAGTGTTGCTGGGCAGTGGCTGGGAGGTGGCAGCAGGGTTCATGTAGCCAGCATCAGGCCGTCCAGCTGTGGCAGGCTTTGGGGAGTAATGCTGCTGCATAGGAGACATGGGGGTCCCTGGGCAGGAGCTTTTGGCTCCTCCTGCAGTTCTTTTCTGCTCATAGGCACTGTAAAACACACAGACACACTCCCGATTGATACAAGTATATTACAACAGGGTGATACTGGGGATGGGTTCTAGTTTTAGTAGTTTTAGCTATTGGGAGTTGTTTGGTGGTCAACAGCACAGTCGGTGTTTCACCTGTGGCGACCAGTGCATGACAGCTGACCAGTGCTGGGTCACTGCACAAGGATAACTGTTGTTGAAAGGAGTCACCCTTTGTAACACTGGATTTCAATACATGAAATCAGAGAGAGGCAATAAACTGACAAACATTGTTCTTATCAAATCTGAACTATTTCCTAGTTAAGAACTGACAAAATGCTTAAAGGAAGCTTGGTACAGTCATACAATAATTAGAAAGAGGAAATGTCAAATCATTTCTTTGCTCTTATCGAGAAAACTGAGAAAAGATGAGTAACCAAAGAATGTTTGTGGACCATGAACTGGAATTTACTAAAGAAATCTTTGACCACATCTTCCGGCTAAATAAAACTAAATAAACTGCATGGCTAGATACCACAAAAGGAACATGAGAAAACAATTTATTTGGGAGAACTGAACCTTTAAAACAAAAAGCTTTATAGATTGTGACATTTTAAATGAGAAATGCTTTACTGTAACACTTTCATCAGGAGAACCTGGAAGTACCTGGCATAAAGGCACTGCTCTCCACTGGGGTAGCTGAAGCTCTGCTTGTGGCTACAGGACTGGCTGGGGTCGGAGCCTGGGCTCTGTGGTTCCTTCTTGATAGTGACGGGAGGGCTATGAAATGCCACTGCTACAAGAGACAGAAGAAGAAACAGAAGACAGAGATGAAGGCTGGCACATGCTCAGCGGGCTCTGTATACTCATTCAGCCTCCTCTTGATACTACTGTCATTAAGCTGAGAGGCAAAAGCAAATAGTTCTCTCTGCACAGGAATCTCTTTGACGTGCCAGCCAAAATGCTTAAGTGACTGTCAGCTGCAAAACACAGAGCAGCAGACAGACACATATAAACACACACTTACAGGAACACGAAAACACACATGCTCACACACGACTGCATACCAGCAGTCATTTGCAAGCCCAAAGTGTCCTCGCCCACTTTTCTTCACTCTGTCAGACACAACAACAGCCAAAACTTCCTCTGTCGAAGTCAGGCTTAAACTAAACAACTCCACGGGCCAGAGATGTCTGATGAAACTGATGAAAGCACATGTCACACCTCTGCTACAATGGCATATACACTGAAACCGTCTCTCAGCATTCCTTCCTATTGGTATCCAGATGTTATCCCTGGCTTGAATGCTTTGTGTTTTGCCTTTTTGTAAAAGGGAAACATAAAAGGTGAGGACATGAGTCATGATAACCTGATAATGCCACATATTCCTTCAAAGTTCAAAATATTTAGCAACATTTTGCTATTTGTTGTTTCCTCAAAGGTATCCACGTGTAGGAAAGCTGTCTCCATCCTCAAAGACCCCACCCACCCCCAGCATGGACTGTTCACACCCTTACCCTCTGGCCGGACGTTCAGAAGTGTGAAATGCAGGACCTCTAGACTGAAAAACTCTTTCTTTCCAACTGCCATAAGACTTCTAAACATCTGACTCAGGAACTACCTCATATAATTCCACCTGTACTGTTTACACACTCAGTTCGCACATGCATAACTGCACACTCACTGCTGAATATTTGCACACACAGCTCCCATGTAGCATACATTCGCTCTTCATTGTATTGTGTTCTTGTTGTATTTTTATTATGCTTCTTTCATCAGCTGTTTTACAGTGCCTTAGATTTTGAGATTTAGAGTTGCCTATGTATCTGTGTTATATTTCACTTTCAACTCTTTGAGTTGTCCTTCTGATGTTTCTCAAACATCTGAGTTGCAGTGATAGTGGCATTACTCATTCGGCAGAACTTGTAGTACACTGGAATTGTTTGCACTTTATTTTAAAATTGTGGCATTCGTGTGGATAGCAAAGAAAGAATTTCATTGTACAAGGAAACTTGTTTCCTCACTGTGCACATGACAAACACTTGACCTTGACCGAGTCTCTAGCACACCAAACTGTCTATCAAGCTGGTCTGCTGGAGGGAACTTTTGCTTTGACGGCACAGAACCCACCCAAGGTGGAGCTTCAAACTGTGTCGAGGGCTTGTGTTTATTATATGTGGGGAGGTTTTCACCCGAAGAACTGTGCAGGATGTTTTTCTGGTCCCGATAGGGTAAACAGCAGCAGCTGTGCACTTCCAGCTGGGGAGGCCTGTATTTATGTGTTCACATATGTGTGTGCATTAGTAATCTCAGTGGCTCTATATCTATGTGCATGCTTGTGAATGTGTGTGTAATTGCTAAAAAGTGTGCATTTGTGTGTGTGTTTGTCTGCAGTGGGCGTGGAGCAGACGAAGATGGCCACACTGAAAGCTCAGCCCTGGTAATTATATACTGTCCTCTATTCAAAAGAAAGGAGAAAATGCCTGGATGTCTGCATAAAGCCTGAGATGACTAAAGGGAGAGACAGAAAGTGAAAAAATTAAGTAAACAAAAGTGAGACAGGTCCACGAACCGTCCTGGGGATCTACTGCTACTCAGGATTTTCCCTCAATTCTCAAAACTGATAAAACTGGCTCAAAGCCCTTGAACTAAGAGTTTCATTCAGTGTTGACTTAAATTTATCCATCCATCCATCTTTGTCCGCTTTATCCGAGACTGGGTCGCAGGGGTCTGGAAGTCCAAGCAGAGCCTCCCAGACTCCCAGACCCCCACCCCCACACACCTCCGCTAGCTCCTCAGGAGGAACCGCAAGGCGTTCCCAGGCCAGCCGGGAGACATAGTCTCTCGAACGTGTCCTGGGTCTGCCCCGAGGCCTTCTCCCAAAGGGACATGCCCGGAATACCTCCCCAGGGAGGCGTCCAGGGGGCATCCTAAAGAGGTGCCTGAGCCACCTCAACTGGTTCCACTTAACGTGGAGGATCAGCGGCTCTGCTCCGAGCTCCTCACGGGTGACTGAGCTCCACACCCCATCCCCAAGGGTGCACCCAACCACTCCCCGGAGGAAACTCATTTCTGCCTCTTGTATCCGCGATCTCATTCTTTCGGTCATGATCCAAAGTTCATGGCCACAGGTGAGGGTAGGAATGTAGATCAACCGGTGAATTGAGAGCTTTGCCTTATGACTCAGCTCCTTCTTCACCACAATGGACCAGTACAGAGACCGCATTACTGCGGGCACCGCACCGATCCGCCTGTCAACCTACTGCTCCATTTTTCTCTCACTCATGAACAGGACCCCGAGATACTTATACTACTCCACTTGAGGGAGCAACCCACTCCCAAACCAGAGAGGGCAATCCACCTTTTTCCGACTGAGAACCATGGCCTCGGATCTGGAGGTGCCAATTCTCATCCCCACCACTTCACACTCGGCTGCAGCCCATAGTCCAGAAGTACCTCCCACAGGATCCCACGAGGGACACGGTCGAATGCCCTCTGCAAAAAACACATGTAGACTGGTTGGGCAAACGCCCATAAACCTTCCAATACCCTAGTGAAGGTATAGAGCTGGTTCAGCGTTCCATGGCCGGGGCGAAGACCACACTGTTCCTCCTGAATCCGAGGTTCAACTATCAGCCAGATTCTCCTCTCCAGTACCCTGGCACAGATTTTCCCGGGGAGGCTAAGAAGTGTGATCCCCCTCTAGTTGGAACACTTTCCGGTCCCCCTTCTTAAAAAGGGACAGCCTCTGGACTGGCAGACCAGGGACCACCACCCCCGGTCTGCCAGAGCAGAGGCACCGTCCTCGAAGTCCACGCAATGCTGCAGAGGCATTAGCCAAGACAGCCCCACAACATCTATAGACTTGAGAAACTCGGGGCAGACCTCATCCACCCCGGAGCCTTGCCACTGAGGAGCTCCTTAACTACCTCATCAACTTCAGCCAGGGTAATGGACAAGTCCCCTCCCGAGTCCCCAGCCCTGGCATCCTTTACAGAAGAAATGTTGGAGGGATTAAGGACACATAAATTTATGATAACATTTAATAATTTAAGTAGTACTGATAATTTTTCAGTAATTTCTGATAATTCACAGACTATTGGATTAAAAGCCAATTTAATTAATATTGACAATGTTCTCCTTTTTACATGTATTACAATTAAAGCAGAATAGTTTGAATTGCTATTCAGAAAGGGAGTGATTAGTGTGTGACTGTGGGATCCCTGATCAAACAGCTGCAGTAGGATGCTATTCATGAACACACATAATCCTCTGTGCTAAGAAAAGCTTCAATCTTCACAGTTTCTTACTGTATTTTGTTTGAAATTAAAATTTCTTCCTTTCACTAGTGCAGTGTTTTTTCACTTGAGCCCGTTTGCCTTGACTGAGGACAAAACATCTAAAATGACAAACTGAGTTCAAGTTCTTGATAAATGGCTCATCATTGTAACCTTCTTCTTTCTGGTCTGTACTCACTCTCCCATGGCAGGCAGACAGGTGAGGAAGTGTTGGCTTTAGCAGAGGATCAACAGGATTAGAGAGCATTTACCCAGATTTCCCAGACAGACGCAATGGGATTCCAGCCTCCTCTAAGTCTCCGACAGCTTGTCTGCTAGTACACAGAGGGTGGCACATGACTGCCGCTCTAATAATACTAGTCTGTCTATTGACATTCCCTCCCTTTCTCTGCCATGGTCATGAACTGCAAACAATCCTCAGTGTGTGTGTACACAGGGCACCTTACAATGTGGCCAAGTAGAGCCACTAATGCAAGCGGCAGGAATATTGGCCTTGATGTGGCACTTAGTTTATGAGTACGTGCTTGTATCTGCCTGTGATTGTTGTCACTTGGATTTCCAATTAGGTACAGGTGGAGCAACATCGCGATCTCTAAAGCCACAGAGCTGGTGTGGCTAAAATCATGATTTTTGACTTAACCTAACATCCATTTCCAAGAATAGTCCTTACATTCAAACAAACTCTAGTCTCCACCAACTATTACAAACTTTCTGGCATATTACTGTAAATCTCCTTTTCCAAATTGTCAAATTTGCTGTTAAAGTTTATAAGGTAGTGACAGTCTTGTAAACAGATCCAGGGAGAGTTATGTTCTTCAGCTTCCCTTCTCTTCCTGCTTTTATTTGGGTCAACACAACCTCCACTAACTACTTTGTTAAATGTTACATCACTCTTTCACAGAGATCCTCATATTTCTTTATTCTCTAGACTGAAGGAGAGGGTTGAGCCATGAACTTACGCAGGGAGCGTGAAGTACCTGAAAGGTGTTTAGAAGTGAAAAGACATAACAGCTGTTGCCTTTAAAAGCAGACAATTTTAAGATAAGTGTGTACAGTAAAGTATATGTGGGTATGTCTTGACTTGTAGATGAATATATGCATGTTCTCCTCCAGCACTTGACAGATCAGGGGAGATTCCCAGCACCTCCTAAGCCGATAAGGTCAAAGGGCTTCTTCCTCACTCACAACTTAACTCCTCCTCCCTGATTTTGTGGTATTCTATACAGTCTCCAATTCACACCCTATTCTGGGTGCTACTTATAGAGATGACGCCCAGCTAATGGCAGTGTGGAGTGGACTTTTACATATGTAAATGTTGGCTCTCAGAAGGGGAGGATGCAGGGTGAAAGGTGATGGTCATGGTTGAGTGCTTTAGGAAGTAGAAGGATCATTACATCGGGGGTGTTCCATTCAGCAAACATCCACCACAAACAAATCGCAGGGGCAGGGATAGCACCGCGGCGGGGAGGGCAGCACCCCCCCCCCCCCCCACACACAC